TGTTTTGGGTAACACACGACATCCGACCCAGACTATTCCACCTTTCGAGACCCTTACAACCTCTCCTAGCCTTCCGCCTGGTCAAACAGCATAATGGAAATCACAATCCTAACCTGCTGAGAAAATACGCATATCATTTACGGAACCGTCGATGATCGTGGATCCTGAATTCCTCAAAAAGTTCACCAACGTCTCAGCGAGGGCGACTATGAACGCCGCAAAAGCGATCACATTGCTGAACACGTACAGTACCGCAACGCCTGCCGCAACAGCTGAGCTTGCATATGTCGAAATCTGAAACTTATTTTTGCTTGAGTAATTTATTTATTCGTCATTTTCTTGTCCCCATGCAAAAAACAACTGACCGTCGAAAAGAATCCGACTCTCTGATCCGTGGTTATAGCTGCCACAGACATTGTTGTCAAAAATGATACCAGAAATCCGAGAAAAATAAAGAAGATCGCCATTCCTAAAGTGATAATGTATCACGAAAGATTCCTCGAAGGTGGTCGTTGTGCCAGAGAAAAGGGTTCAGTGCTAGGGCGAGCACCCACTGGGGAAGGTTCTGATGCGAGCAAAAACGTGTGGGTCGGTCCTTTCCCAAGTGCCTAACCCCATCCTTCGTCACAGTATTTCCGTCAGCTTAGGGAGGTTAATGGCCCACATCGTTTAGTATTATGATCGAAACACTATGAGGAAAAATTGCAGCACCTAGCATAAAATAAACAAATAAACAAGTGGATTACTAATGCGGTAAGTTACAGGAAAAGGGAACATAGCCTTCTCGGCTCTTAGTATTATCCTTCCTGCACAAGAAAACTGCTGGATCTAATTGTGCTGATAACAAGGTCGAAATTAAGTGAAAGGTTTTGTTGTCTTACCGAGTCCGACCTGATCAGTAATCCAGATCATTCGAATAAAAATGATCACACCAAGCATATTCTGAATACATCGTACGAATACATGAGGCCAACTCCATTTACGGTCCACGCATAAGTCCATATCGGCACCGCCATGCACACTGATCTATGAAAAGTCATTATGAATGGATTGCTCGGGATAGTTCAATTTCGTTTCTGCTACGCGCCATGAACCACTCTCATGAAATCGTAGCGTTGTTTTGAAGTGCGTGAGTTCGGCTCTTGAAAAGTCAGTAGATGTGAGAGAAAATGAGCTCCCATTAAAGGTACAGTTCACGATAATTTTGGGTAATCCAGGTTATGACGAAAAAATGGAAGACAAGATGGAAAATAGTGCGGTGAAGATGAAGAAACCGTGTGAACCGGTGTTTCCAAAGTG